CGGTGATACCAGTTCTGCAACCAATCATGGGTAGGGAGAACAGAAGTGGCACAGTGGTAACAGTCTGCGTTGTAAGACCTTAGGAATACCTTTGTGAGTGCTGGTTTCTCAGCCTTGATATTGTAAAAAACATTTTCCAGTATAGATGCCACTGAGCTCCAGTCCTGTCGGCAATTGTCGACGACGTGAACAAAACACTCTACAGCATGTTCTCCATCATGTTCCTTGGTTATCACCGCTGTCACGTGCCAGCTCTTACCGCGTTTGCCAAAAAGGTTTTTCCAGAAAAGTATTAATTGGAACTTGGAAGGAATAGAATGGTGTAATCTGTCTTACGATCTTGCTAAACTTTCAGCACCCAGCTATCAAAGCATGTTACATGACTAGTGTCCTCCTAACCCCCATACAGAGCCTCTGATCATTGAGGCCTTCCTAGATAATAGCTATTAATGCCACTGTATTTCAATAATCAATCCAGCAAAAAATAGTATCGACAATTGGGAAAAAATATGTACAAATTGAACATAATTCTATTTCAAGCATCCCCAAATTACCCATGCAGAGCCCACATGACTTCCTTTGCATTGTGGTAGTATTCATATTGCATCTGCATAGTTTTTATTCAGTTGGGTAAAGATCCGGCTAAATCTTTCTGTGCAATCACATGTCATTGCTTCTTGAACCATTTTTTAAAAAAACGAAAAATCCCCCAAAAGACCCTCCTCCCACGACTCCCAGTATGTGTGTCCCACGTCAATGACAATGTTTTTTACTAAGTAGATGGTCCTCTATCCAGAAAAAGTAAAAGTGTTCACCAAAGCCACTGTGAGTCGGAGTTAATGCCTCATAAAAATGACTAAAATTTAAAGATGCAAAAATTCTGCTTTTAATGGTTCTTTCAACCCCCATGTACACCCTTTAAACATCAATGCCCAAGTCTCAAATTTTGTTATGAAAGACGTAAGACATAGGTATATATGGAAATCAAACAGCACTATTGTTTTCCCTGATAGAAATTGCGGGGCAGCGATCGTAATTTTCATAATTTTGATACGAAATATGGGGGATTTTGAGGGTCTCCAAGGGGGTCTCCAGAACTCTGATACAAAACACACCCAGGGAGTTTTAATCATATGGCTGTTAATACTTCCCCATACCTATCCCACATACAAAATATGAGCGGATTTGGCTGACCCCCATGTTCCGGCCATTGCCTGGTTTTCTCATGCAATGACTCTTAACTTAAAGAAGACATTCAGTGATTCCTTCACATCTTTTAATCACTTTTGCCTCTTTGTCGAGGGTCGTAAGGTTGGAACCTACTCAAAGAAGGGTATTGGACTGCTTTCCGAAGAAATTAAAAACAATGGGATCGTGTGGTGTAGCGGCAGAGTGCTCGACTCGGAACCTAGAGGTCCCGGGTTCGAGTCCTGACATGCCACCGATCCTGTGCCCTTAACTCAAGTAAAAATGAGTATTGCACTGTCCTGTAATCGTACTCTGTGTTGGTGGCGGCATAAGATAAGTTGATATAACTTTAGTGTGCCGTCGCCACGTTTGGTCATGAAATGTTGGAATAAAAAAAATTGAAAACAATCAGGAGGATAATTATTTATCATACTTACTATTCAGCTGTGCCGCTTCCTGCGTAGTGAGGCCGTACACAGGCGGACTGTGCCACATCATGGTCATGTACAAGAGAAGGAAGACTTTGCTGTAAGTCCAGGCTCCCATGTTGAACGGTGTTCGTCTAAGATGAAGAAACAATGTCAAGGAAGTGTTTTAATAATTTTGTTGACAAGTCTCCAACATACAGAATCATGAAAAAAAGGATATAAACTTTTAAGATACCATACCTTTTTAAGAAAATGTTTCATAGGTTGTCATGCTGTTATGTGTTCTACACTACCAAAATTCTATTTCTTTTTTTTTCTTTTTTTTTTCTAATGTTGAGAAATATCCTCTTGCCAGGGGGATTTTCAAGAAAATTCAAGAAACATTCTTTAAAGACTTTGTACAAAGAAAAACAAGAAAAAGCATTTTTGGTAGTGACTGTAGGCATTTATATTTCATCAAATCAATATTGAATTCCGTAGGGATATCCTTTCCGTATACATTTAAAGATAAATATCACAAGTTGCCAGGACCTACCCTGAGGGCGAGTGCTTCTCAGCGTGGACGGAGCGCCGACAGAGCCCCACAGAACCTTCTGGCGATCTGGCCTTCAGCGTAAAAAAACAAATTACATATCTGTCATAATTGTATTACACAAACACAAGGGTGGTAATTTCCACAGCTCCTTTAGTGTCGTGTAGTAACAATACGTTCATTACGACTCTGTTTACTAGAAAATAATTTACTCACAGAGGGGGCAGCATATTTGCGTCAACTACATTTAACGCCAAGCAACCTTTTGTTCAAGTCCTTGAACACATCCTAAATTCAATTATGACATTTGTAGTAATGGAGGAGTTTCAGCCTCTACTCAAGACATCCTGGATTTGGACCTGGGTGTTGTGCCTTTGCCTCAACATTTATACAAATTGCCCTCAACAATTTTTTACACATTTACACAAATTTACCACTTAAAAAACTAAACAGTGTTTACTGTAGAACTGGGAGATATCGCTCAAGTGCAATACCACACATAGTACTCCAAAAAGCAGTTACTCAAGCAAGTAGATATGATTTTGAGTAACTGCTTGAGTAACTGCTTTTTGGCGTATCGTATTACCTGGATGTCTAACCTTCATCGACGCAAACATAGTACTGTC